AAAATAAAATAGAAAAATACTCCGCGTATTAAATTACACTCGTTCTACACTTTAATTACCGGTTAAAATAAATATAAAAATAATTTAATAAAGTAAAATACGACCGTATCTTTATAAATTTTTAATTAATCTACAACGTTAATTATATTAATCAATTTATTAAAGATCCGCCAATTAGTACTAATAGTTAATAAATACGGATAATTAATAACGATTAATTTATTGACTACAATTTTTATAATACCCACCTATCCCAACTTTAAAAGGAGGATAAACTATACCGTTACTTTAACGATTAAATATATACTATTAATAATATACTAAATTAGTAGAAAGCCAACTAGAATATTTACCTTTAATTATTACGCATAATATTTAACTTTTATTCTATACCCTCTATAGTAGACGATTATAAACGCTCTTTTAGCGGCGCTAAATTAATTTTCGATATATAATAATAAAGTTTTACGGCCGAATCGGTTAACGTTATTAAAATATTAAAATTTTAATTACGTTTTAAGTTTATAGAGGATAATTAAGGGTGGTAGATGATATATAAGTGGTCGTAAAGCGTCTAAGAGAAAGATTTTACAATAAAGGGTAGTTTAGGGAGTTAGAAAATAGAAGAAAAAATCGAAAAACTATTGAAATCTATCAAATCTAATCAAATCAAATCAAATCAAATCAAATATCTATAAATATAAATAAATCAAACTTCAGATTTGAGTGGATCAAATCAAATCGGGGTCCCGATTTAATTTGATTTGATTTATTTCTGGCGTTGGGCAGGTCCCTGACCCGCACGCCCAACTTGTACTCTACCTCGCCTCGTCCCCAAACAATTCGCAACCCCCCTACATGACGAAACGATCCTTCGTAGAGACTTGGGTATCGTACAAGTGCATTCACAGTATACTCGACCCCTACAATTCTCGAGAACCTTGCAGGCTCACTCCTAGCTCTTACTGGAAAGCTGTGTCAACCATCATGTTCACCAAGCGTAATGCACCGCCAACCGCCCAACCGCCTTCTGGCGTTGAGCCAACTCTGCAAACGCTGACTTGGACAGTACCTCCTATGGATTTCGACTCCGAGCTTACAGACTCGGACACCGAGGAAGAGACTGGATCTCTTCAAAGGATCACCACAGAGGAGCTTACACATGCCGCAGGGAACATCGAGGAAGCCAAGCAAGGAATCATCGGCTCGCTTATGACATTTGTAAAGAGACTCCATGAAGTGAGCCGACTGGAACGACTTAAGAGTAAAGCAAGAAGTATCAAGAGTACAACACCGGGATTACTCGTAGAAGTCAAATATAAACGCCGGGGAAGGAGACAATCGCGTTTATGAGTTCGGGACAGAATGGGAAGAATGGGCGGGATTGCGGCGTAGGGATATTGAGGTTTCTCTTGGATGAATTAGGCCCTGGAATGCCTGCAGGTTACCTCAGGATTGGGATCTATGAAGACGACGATGGGCAGCAGGCATTTTTCACTTTCGGAATGGCAAATTCTGGCACCATAGCGGTAATTGAAGGAAAACTATAATTGCCCGATATCTGGAGGGCAATAATATCTTAGTTGAGTTGTGTGTACTACCAAACCCGTCCTCGTTTCACATTAGAAGAGTGATTGGACTTGTAGGAGGAGAGGGTCAAGGCCAAGGCTCCAAGCCTCTCTAACCCACTCATGTGTGCAACCTTCCTCGCATCGCCCATGTGTCCGATTTGTTCCACGTAAGGATAAATGAACGGTAGGTCGGATTGGGTACAAGCAGGGTACCACGCAAACACTTCCATAAAGCGAGAACTATACAAAATTTCTCCGCCTGGGGAACCCTCAATCGTATCACATTAGTGACAGTGTTCCCGAATGAGAGTGAAAGATCAAAGGGCTCGTACAAGACGAATCTCTTTCAGGAACAAAGGTAAGTTGATCACATTCACCAGCCTCAACGAAACACAAGTTGACCACAACGACGCGTCTCGCAAGCTTCCATCCTCCTACAATACACGAGCCCCGTGCCTCAAGCCTTTGGACTCAAAATATAAATCTCCCCCTCCGCACTATTATCGCTCCCCACAAACAGACCCCTACCAGCCGGATCCCAACTAGCAGCCGTCAACCTAAAACAACTACTCATCGTCAACCCATTCGCCGTGCAACTGCTCGGATTACTCGCGCTGAAAATATCCGTATACCCCGTCCTGCTATCACTGGGAGCAACAGGATCATAACTCCCATCCGCCAACCTAGTAAACGGGACCTGCACGACTTTGAACCCCGTGGGCGGCTGCCGGTTCCAGGAGCCGTGGAAGGTGATGTACATGTTCTTTGCTTCGCTATCAAAAGTGTTCCAGATGGGAGCGGAGTGCGCTTGGAAGGTGAGACGGGGGGCGACGGCTTTGCCGTTGCAGGTGGCGTCGTTGTAGGAGGAGTTGGGGGCTGTGACGAAGTGTTGCCCGGTTTTCAAGCCGTTGTTGAAGTTGGAGGGGTCCCAGACTGAGAAGCATGTGGGATAGCCGTACCAGGCGTTGCGGAGGGTGCGGGGGTCGCCGACTGGGGTAACGAAAGGGGTTAGTGGATCTGAAAGCAAGAGGGAAAAGGGGGGCTTACGGTTGTTGAGCTTTTCAGCTGGGTTGTTGGTGTGGATATCCCTTCGTTGACCGTTTTCGGTGCGAGTGAAGTCCTGTTGCAAGGTTAGCAAGAGTCAGGAAGGGGAGAAGAGGGACTACTAACATCACCGCTATTCTCCACACCCCAAAAGACGCCATTAGGATCAGGAACAAAGCCGATCTCGTTCCTCAACCCATATCCAAACATCTCGCCCTGGGTGTTATAGTTGTACCCGCCCGAGGGAACGTTGTTGACGTCAAACACCTTGATGCAAGCCCGGCCAGTCGACGGCTGCTGCGAAGCCATGTCGAAATTCGAGTTGCTGCCCACCTGCAGCAGCACCAGGTTCGGCTGACCTGGGACAACCTTGACGGTACGTGAAGAGTGCACGCCAGTTGACATACCCTTGACGATGGTCTTCTGGTTGCTGACCTTGCGGGTCAGGGGGTCGTAGGTCCAGCTGTAGAGTGTAGTCTCGGAGGAAGCATAGAGGGTCTTGCCGTCGGGAGTCAAGTCCAGGCCGTGGTTGAGACCGCCGCCGGAGATGAGCATGTTGGTGCTATTGATGCAGCCATCGGCGCCGAAGGTGTGCACAGACACGCCCCGGGTGTTTTGCTGCACGAGCATGTTGCCTTCGGTGTCCCAGATGATGGTTCGTACTTGCTTCAGGCTGCCGGCGATCTTCATGACGGTCCAGGCGGAGTTGAGGGTGTATTGGAAGCGCATGTTGGGGACGCCGTTGCAGCTTTTTGGGAGAGGGAGCTTTGTGACTTCGGCGTGGACACCTGTGAAGTGGAGTTAGTGTGATGCCACCTTGAGAAGCAGGAGAAGAGAACTTACCGGCACCCAAAAGGGCCGCTGCCACTGTGAAGAGGTTGAACAAACGCATTATGTTAAGGCCTCGAATCGCTGTAGGTGGTACGTAAGACCTTGCATCCAGAGAAGAGCAAGCAGAGAATCTGAGAAACGCGGTGGGCATGCAACTCCCTTCTATATGGCCATCCTCGGGAGGCAAAACAAGATCCAGGACCCGCCAAGACGGGACGAGTCGAGTGCCTCATCTAAAGCGAACATCCCATTCCAACGATTATGCTGCTTGGTGGTTGAATCCATGCCCTATATCGTGATATGTGATCGAGTGTCTTCGATGCTGGTGGCCAACCGTTTTGCCGGGAAGAATGCAACCCAATATCGGGTATGATAGCCTGTTCGGCAGTATGCTTCCGCGCACACGGCAGTCGCCATTCTATGCCGTGCTGTGCCATGCGTCGTCACTCTTCTCCACGATTGACGCTCCGCGCTCGCGTGGGAAAATTGTTGGAGTGTTTGCCGATTGGCTGGTGATGAGCCGCATATTAATGAAGGGCGAAAATCCGGTCGGAGACATCCCAAGAAGATTTGAGACTGATAAAATGGGAAATCGTCAGGTGATTAACAGTACTTGAACAAAAGGGTGGCTTGTTGATGTAGTAGATTGTTGTTGTCTGCTCACATCTCTCTCATCTCCCCGGTGAAGATCCTCCAAAGTCGAATAGCCTCTTCCCTCACGCGGCGCCAATTAATCCTCCAGTTGCGAATAGCGACGATGAAAAACATCTTGAACGCGCTTTTGGATCTAGCGGAGAGGTGTTTGGTGAGTTGGTAAGTCGAAACTAGTGCTTGACGATTAAGTCGGGTGTCTTGTGGAAGATGTGGTGAGAATGGTATGATGGCGGCAAGGTCTTTGTGTCTTATCTTGAAAAGAATGATGGTACCTCGAGAGAAACGATGCGAAAGAGGGGTCGTTAGTATAGATGAACTTAATGTCGCAACTAAGAACGAGGTGAGTTTGGAATGAAGTCGCGATAAAGTTTGTCGTCATGCAGGTACGTCGCTTATTGAGAGCGAGCAGATGCAAGCTGACAATCCCGAATTTCCATTGGCCAGAATGGCTTCTGGACCTACTTAAAAGGAAAGAAGACAAAAAGAAATGGAAAACGACAAGACTCGCCAAAGTTGTGTTGAAGTGAACACTCTGCCTCCATCAAATTTCCATGACACTTGTGTAGACCTAAATCCCGGCAATGTTTCGTCTTCGTTATGTCAATAAGCAGAGGGTAGGCCAGTCATTTTCGCTGAAGATACCCTTTTGGGACTTTGGCGCAGAGCTGGCCACGAATATTATAAGCTCCTTGAGCCTTAACATACTTGTAGCTATCTGTTGCGAAGCGGACAGCCTCCAAGTGCCCAAGACCGGGGATGGCGTTCCTTCTTGCCTTGAGGTTCCCTCTCCGCTACGTGAAGCTCGCACTGCACATCTGACCCGCGGCATCGTGGTCCACCACGCCGTCACTAGCCCTTCATAAGCTTATCTCCTGAACCACCAGTCAACAACACCAGCAAGTGCAGTTAGTACAGTGGTTAGTACTCTCGCTACCCAAACGCTAGCCCAGGGACTCCCCTCAAGGAGGTGACCGTACAATGTGATCACGCGAGCAACCCAGGTTCGAATCCTGGACTGCGCAATCCTACTCTTTTTTTCCCGGTGCCATTTTCTGATTCTTGTCCGGCACTGGGCTCCTGTTCATTGTTCTTTCGCTGACTGGGCTGGGCCACATGCAGGAAAGCGCAGATTGATAGTGCACTGCGATGCATGGCGTCATCTAGAAAGCCGGATTCTGAATCCATCCTCTGCATGCATGTGTTCAGTGAGCGTCAACACCTCACTCAGCCGCCAAGTTTAGCTCTTCAACATCACCATCTCTTCCTCTCATCATAGTCGACCTCACTTCCGTCTTTCCTGCCCTACTTCCAAGTCTCCGGCCTCCATACGCCTGTTGTTGCTCAGGTCTCTGATCGTGACCGCCTTTCTGCATCATCGCATTGGGAATATGCCTCGGGTACTCAGGTCTATCCGAATGTGCGGCCCAAGAGTTTTTTTGGTACTGGAGTTTGTTGTGCTCAACTCTCAGACGGAGTTTGTAGAAGTCAAGATCTTCGAGGCCAGACTTGACGCTGAGGTCTTGAGAGCGGGGCTGTGAGCCCGTAGACGCCTTTGCCGAGGACTCCGCTACGTGGCGTAATTGATCGTCGGCCTTGATTTGTCCAGCCTCAGTCCCGTCTTCTTTCTGTCGCTTGCTTTCTTCCTCGGCAAGAAGCTGAGCTCTAAACTCATGGCCCTGGACCGCAGCAATGGCCTGCGGGGTGAGACCAAACTGGTCCTGCACCCTGGTATCTGCTCCCTGACCGAGGAGAAACTTGACCATGTCCTCGTCGCCATGGAAAGCAGCATAGTGAAGTGCCGTTGCTCCTGCCTTCCCTTCTGCATTCTCAGGTTCCAACATATCAATCCTTATATTGATATCCAAGTTGTGCTTGTCGAGAAGGTACTTCATCAAGGTGGTCTGCTGGTCAAACAAGGCGTTGCACCATAGCTTCTGCATCAAAGTTCTTTGCTGCTTCCCTTCAGGTGTATTGGTGACGTTGAACGCGTAGTCTGGAATTGCTGGCATGGACGATGATATATGTCGCTCGTTGATGTGGCGAAGAAGGTCAGACAGACGGAGGAATGCGACATATTCGTCGCACGTCAAGTTCGTGTCCTTCTCGAAAGGGCTTCGCTCGCCTCCATAGAGCTTCGTATAGGGGCAGATGTGAAGCGCATCTTGACCCGGCTTTTCTATGATGGTACGTCGGGCAGTCTTTTGTGGTTTCGGCAGTGATGCGTCTCCTCCGTATACGACTTGAGGTCTCATCTGTGGTGTCTGATAGGGGCTCACTTCCAACTCAAAAGAGGCTTTTAGAGATTGGGCAAGACCGGTGACAGTCGACGATGTTGAAGCTCGCCGAAATCGCCTGCGTGGACAAGGTTAGTTCCTGATGAGCCTAGAGAAGCCCGTTGTTCGGTGGAAGATAACGTACTGACTATCGCCCGGAATCCTCCTCAAGCCAAGGAAGTCCGAAGAGCTATCTTTGCCCTTAATGAAACGTTGTATGAGGCCCTCGGGGAAGTGGTAGTTCCAGTCAAACATCCCTCGTTCCCTGGAAGCTGTTAGTGTGGCCAATCCCAAGAACAACGACGTTAATCCAAGAATAGCTCACTGGTTGCCACCTAGCAGATAGGCCATGGGGAGGTCCAAGTCTGTCTTAAACCACTCATGCTTCATGGCATCGACAGCAGTGGGTCGCTTGTCAAACTCAGTCCAAAGCGCGTATAGTAGTCTCTGCGCAGCGGTTGAAACCCCGTATGCGACGAACCATGGAAGATGATCATGCCGCATTTTCTTCCACTTCCTCTTTGGCACCAAGCCCACCCAACAATGCTCATCGTCGTCCCACATTCTTACAAAGTCTCTGCTGTCGGCGCCGTTATCGCCAAACGGCAGCTTGTTAGTAAGAATCTCAAACACGGTGACCCCTAGAGACCACATGTCGATAGTCAGAAAGTTTTTGGCCTCAAGTAGCTGTGGCGGCCAAAAGTATTCAGATCCTTGGATCTCGGGTGCTCCGTAAGCCCAAGTGGTTCTCACCCCACTCGGTACGTCTTGCTTGTTGCTGACCGACTTGGAGAACCCAAAGTCAGCAAGGACGACTGACCATTCCTCGTCAGGATTGTCAGACTGTGGGCAACTCCGTATGAAGATGTTCTTTGGAAATTGGTAGAGGTCAGCACAATCAACAATGGATGGACATGAGTGACAGTATGGAATCACATCGTTGGAATGCGTTGGTGAAAATGGAGATGCATAGGTAAAGTGAGAGAGGCTTACCTTGGGGGAAATATCGCGATGGGCATATTCCTGCTCTTGCATGAAGCCCAACCCTAGCAAGACCTGAAAAATGACTGACTTGCAGTCCTTCTCCGTTAAGGGCCCATTCTTCGTCAGATACTGGCGTAGATCACCCAGTGGCAAGTACTCCATGGCGATGTTAAGGCATCCTGGCCCCTCCATCCACCAGCCCAGGCACTCTAGGAAGAAAGGTCGACACTAGGGGCAGTAAAGGTCAATATGGACACTTGCAACGGGGCCATGAAGGGGATATAGTGGGCAAAAGGTACTGACACTGTCTTGACCTCCATTGAACTTCACCATCGCCAGGACCTCTCTTTCGTGCAGAGCCTTCTCCCTTTCGTCATAGTTGATGGTTTTGACAACCCGTTTGATGCTAAAAAGTGCCGGATCCCTTGCGATGCATGACTGTCTGTAAATCTGAACATCCTTGCTGCTGAACAAGGGAGGGTCTTCTATCTCCCACTCTACTTTTTCTGGACCACCGCCATACTGAGGCCAATATGTGTGGCGTACCAGTGGGAAAACGAAAGCCGTTCGGTCCTTGGAGTGATCTGGATGCACTGGCCGTTCGGTTTCCAGCCACATCGCTGAAACACCATCATCATCGGCCAGAGTTGAAAGCGGTTGAGGGTTTCCCATAGTGACAAATAAGCGACACGATAACGACGAACGTATTGAAGAAGGAGGAAAGGTAATTGTAAAGCATGAAGAGAGAAATGGGAAGCCAATGGGTGAGAGGGGAAATAATAATGGGAACGATTGTAGACCTGACAGCGCGGTCGGCTAGTTAAAGCTATGCTCCGTACGGACGGTGGATTCCATGTACTCATAGCCTCATCTGTTCGACGTTGAACATGGTGACATTTCCCATCATATAAATCCCGGCAACTATTACAATACTGGGTGGCTGGTCTGCAGGGATAATAGGAGTGTACGTAACCTAAATAACCGAGGTTTGGAGTCTGAGGGATTTTTACACAGTAGCTAGAGATTTGTACGTTTATAGAGTCTTACACAGTTATATACAATTAAGCCTTCTTTGCTCCCCCTAATATTGTTACTATTATAATAATTAAGAGTTTTGTCGATTCGCCTAAATTACGGTATTAATAACGTTAATAATAACGAAATTAGTAATAACGATAATATTTTCGAAAATTAATAATATTTATTTCAACTCTCTTAAGGACTAGCCTACTTAAGAAAATACCTTTATTTCCTAAGTTTAAAACTTAGGCCTTTAGGAATATATTAATTTTATAAATCGCTAACCTTAATTAACGAAACCTTTTAAATTTAATATTTTCGATTATATTAATTAAAAACCCGAAGGAAAGACCGTTATTAAAAAAAAGGTTCGTTTTAAAGAATTATCTAATATTATAATTAAATATAACTTCTATTATAAACGCGATTATTACGATTATATAATTAAGAAAAACGATTAGCGTATAGATTTAAAAGCAATTTTTAATTTAGGGATTAAAAAAATTTAATTAAATTTATAAATAACCGAAACTATTAGAAATTTATACTGCGAAATTAATTTTATTTAACGTTTTAATATTTATAAATAATACGATAATTTTATTAAAATTATATATTTCAAAAATTAAGAAATTAAAAAATAAGTTAAAGCCTAATTAATTTCTATTTTACGTTTAGGTTATATTATTAAAGATTAAATTACTTAGTTATTCTATTAGGAATAAATTATAATTTTGTACGAAGCCTATAGGGTCTTTAAATTTAATCATTTAAATATTTAATTTATAGAATTCTATTATATAATTAAGGGAAGTCTTTTCTCTTTATAAGTAAATATATATTAATTTTAATATAATAAAGAATTAGAAAAGGATAATTATATAGAAATAGGATTTTATATTATTATTAAAGATTTTTATAAAATAATAATAATGAATTTTATTTAAAGTAAAGGTTAGTTAGCCCTTCCGTTAAAAAGTACGGTATTTATAATTATATTAAATAGAGAGCCCGCTAAAGAAAACGTTTTTAATAATAAAGAAAACCTTAGTACGGATATAGGAAAGGGGCGGGGAGAAATTATAATTTTAATAAAAAAGAAAGGAAGTAAAAAAATTATATCTTTTAAATTTATTAATAAAAAACGCGCTTCCTCCCCTCTTAATAAGTTTATAAAACGAAATATCCTATTTATAAATTTTATAATTATTTCGGTTATAAAATCGAATTATATTATTACGTATATTTATAAATTGCCTTCGAAGGTTAAGTAGTAAATAAAGATATTAAAAAACGCGCCGTTATTAATATAGAGAAGGATAAAAAGTTTAAGGAGGCCATTTTTTAATTGCATAAATAAAAGGAAGACGAATTTAATTAAGAATAATTTTATAATCGTTTAGTAAATAAGAATAATTTTTTGGTATTTACGGATTATTATATTATATATTTATTAAGAGACTTTATAATTTTCGATTTAAGTATAATAATTTATATTTTTAATAAAATTAATTAATTTAAAGACTTTTCCCTTATAATTATAAGTAATTATATATAGGTTAATAATAACCGTATCTTTATTGAAGGGTATAATATTATAATAATTAGGGTTTAAAATAATATAGGGTTAAGGGAATTAATCCTCTTTAGCGTCGCCTTAATACCGAATATAGCTTATAACTTTATTTTTTTAAAATAATTCGAAGATAATTATTTTTTTAGGATTATAAAAACGGGTATTTACA